GAGAGAGAGAGAGAGAGAGAGAGATAGAGAAAGGGAGAAGGATGGAGGGAGAGAGGGAAAAAAGTAGAGAGAGAAAGAGAGGAGGAGCATTAAGAGGGTGGAAGACGCTACTCTCACTCCGGAATGTTTGTGATTCCTAGAAGGTGGCAAGTTGGGATGATGCAGAAAGTAACTCGGTTTACCCTCCCATATTATACGCACTGTATCACAGTAACTTACAGCAACATAAACAATAATAACAACTACAAAAGCAACAGCAGCAGCAGCAACAACAACAACAAAGAAAAAAGAAAAATCAAACAAACATACAAACATATTTCTAACATTTATCTATGATTTCTTAGATTTATATATTTTTTAAGCTTTACAATTTTTTTTTTCTTTAGCCGACTTTTAAAACTGCCTTTTAATATTATTCCAGTAATTCAGTATATATTATCAATTTTGTTTTATCATATTACGTCTTTTTTTTTGGGGGGGGGGGGTTGTAAGCATGTTACGGCACTCGCAACAGCATAACATAAAGTCATATGAGTGCAAAAAATAATTATTCCTAAACAAAAGCTGTATACTCCTTACCCTAGCATCGACATCACCCCAGCTGACCGGCGTTGGGCGGGAGCCTGGTGGATCGGCTTTGTGGTCACGTGTGTCCTGTACGTGTTGCTCACGCCTCTCATCTCAGTCTTTCCCAGGACCATAACAGGTTGGCTCTTGTGGAAACAATGGGTAGCTTTTAAGCACAAGGGCCTATCCCGAAAAATGCTGTTTTAAGAAAATCGAAGGTAAAGTTTTTAGACCCATGCTCAGTTGTTTTTTAAAGACAAGGAGTGTTTTCTCTATAATCAAACAAAATATAAATATACACACCAATGAAACCAAACTTCTCCTATAGGTAGTACAATGCCCACTTTTGGTGTAGGTCAAGATATCTTGAAACCCCCGACATCTGGGTTAGCCCGCTTGTCCTTAAAAGTGGACAATTATTTCTTGTTTCGACTTAAACTTTACTTACTTTACTTTATCCGTCCTCTTTTACCTCAAGGGGAGAAAAAGCTTCCTGTCTCTAGCAAGTTCGATGGCCTGGCTGGGTGGGATATTGTATGTTCTCAGAGTATCCTTTACACCATGGATCCAGGTCTTTCTTGGTCTTCCTCTTGCCTTTGTATATTTTAATCGTTCTTTCTACGTCGTCAGTCTATTGCTACTGTCTCTCTGTTTCTCTTGGTTTTGTCTGTCCCCGCGGTTTTATGCAAACAAAAAAAACCCCTCTGAAATTATGCAAACTGAGCCCGAAAATGTAAAATTTTGTGATTCTGTTAATTTTAACAAAGAATGAAGAAGGAAAATAACCAGAAGTTATGCAAAAAAATGACCAAATTTTGCTAAATCACGCGGAGTGCATAAAATCCCGGGGACAGTTTTGTCTAAGGCAAAACCACAGAATGTACATGTGTATAGTTATTGAGCCGATGTGTTTTTCTCTTCAATTCATACTCAGACTATTAACTATAGCAGTTAGCTTTACCTTGTGGACTTTGAAATTCTGACAATAGTTGTTGGCAGGTTTTATTTCTTAATACATAGTAAATTAATAAGTGTAGTTTGGATGGGATTATTGTTCTTTGTGTGTTTTCTTGTCTTTGGGTTTGTCAGAATATTACTTTTTATAACATCTGTGTTTAGCATAACGTTATTTTTCTTTATTGTGATGAATATATAAATATACATTATATATATATATATATATATATATATATAATATATAGGTCAAGTATTTGTTTAGACGTCAAATTACTCAGCATGATGTGATTTCTCACTAGGGACCTCCGAAAAGAAAGAACAGATACAAGACACTCAATCTGACTGGGTCGCAAAGGCTTTTTTCAAGTTCCTAAAGGCAATAGCGAATTTGGTAAGCTCAAGTCTTAGTGTTCGTTCATATAATGATTTAATCTCCAAATTGATTTCTTCTTTTTGGCTGCCTACACATTTACGTACATGTGTGTCATTAAAGTCATCGCCTGTGTTTGTGAACTCGTGTGTGAGTGTGATTGTATAAGTTTGTGCTTTTGCATGTGTTGTGGGTATGTGTGTCTACGTGTATTTGTGAAAGAAAAGGAGTGGGAGAGCCGTGGAAAGTGTAAGAGAGCGAAGGAAAATGAGTTAGAGGGAGATGGAGAGAGACAGAGAGATGTAGAGAGACAGAGAGATTTAGAGACAAAGAGAGAGAGAGAGAGAGAGAGAGAGAGAGAGAGAGAGAGAGAGAGAGAGAGAGAGAGAGAGAGAGAGAGAGAGAGAGAGAGTGAAAGACAGAGAATCAGAGAATGTGTGTGTATGCAATTAGGAACCGAATCGCAAAACATGCCCACGAATACAGTGGTCATTCATTCACTTTTTTCTCTTCCCTTTTCTCTTCTCAAGGTGAGTAACCCGGTGTTTGTGCTGGTTGTCCTGGTTGGGTCAGCAGAAACTCTCATCATCCAGGGCCTGGCGGCGTTCTCGGCCAAACTTCTGGAGGAAAAGTTCAACTACAACCCGGCGGACGCTGGACTAGTCATAGGTAATGTGGTTGTGAGGAATCTTAACCCTTTCCGTACGTCGTGTTTTACTATCGTATCAATACGATGTGAGGAACTCTGTACCACCACTTTCCATAGAGGAAATTTACTCGTTAATCCGATCGGTACGCTTTGAATAGTAGTCTGTTAAAACGATTTTTAAAGAAATATTGAAAGTTTCAACGAGATCTTCGAACTAGAAATATTCTAAAATGTGAAGAATACAACCCAGGGGGTACAAAATTACCCCCAGGTCGTACGGAGTTGTTAAGGAGAGGTGGAAAGACGAGTTATTAACAAAATTAACACCGGAACGATCAGCAGATGGACTCTGAGGCGGATATTGGAGCCGGGAGCGGAGCACGTATGGCAATGCCTGTAGTGCTATGATGTTGTTCCCAGGATCAAGTAATCAAGTAATCAAGTAATCAAATCTTAAGGAAAGTTAGCTCTTAGAAGGATATGCCTGTTGTACGAGAATGGATTTGGGAGGGGTGGGGTGTTTGCCGTTGTTCTTGGACATTCAAACATATTATGTTTGACATCCTCCTTTTCATGGTTGCATCTTCGGCAACGTGTGCTGAGCTCTTCATTCACAAAGTTATGATAGCATCTCATGCTCCAATGATGGTCCGACCGCAGTCTCGCTTGCTCAACCTGGTTCGAGCAACATGTGATTAATTGTTCCTGCTTATTGGAGTACCCAGAATACACATCTCCAGGTGCCGGTACTCAGCATGGTGGGTATCTGATTCCCCTCTTGATCATTGGAAAGAGTCCCCTGTGTGTTATTGGTCGTCTAGCTGTCTCCTTTAATCTCTCTGGCTTCATTGGCAGCTCCCCCATTGATGGTGATGGTGATGATGAGGATGATGATGATGATGATGATGATGATGATGATGATGATGATGATGATGATGATTGTTTGTTACGTTACACATCACTATCTGGCGAGGTATTTAAATACACGTACGTGTTACAGGAAGAGTTGGATTAACTTGCTTATGGAGGAGTGATATAAAAAAATGTATTTGTTGAGTCCACTGAAAAAACGGGCACAGTCACAAACTGAAAATCGTGAAGGTATCAATTTTGAACACTTGTTGACTCATAACTGTATTTCTGTTCAGATGTTAGTTGATTATCGTTGTTAGATTGCCCATCCAACAAACATATAAAATAAACCACCAATCAAACAAACATGAAGTTATGAGTCCTCAAGCTTTTAATATTGACACCCTCACAATTTCCAGCTTGTGACTGTGCCCGGTTTTTTTATTCAGTGGACTCCTCAATAATGTTGAAGGAAGATTTGTCTATAGACCAGACATTGTGTTTGTCCCTTACAGGGGCGGTGACCCTGCTTGGCGGGGCCGGTGGGATGGTCCTCGGTGGTGTCGTCATCAGAAAGTTTCATCTACAAGTGCCCGGAATGATCAAACTTTGCATTGCCATGTCTGCAGTCGCCCTGACTTTCGGTGCCGCCTTTTTCATCAACTGCCCCGAGGTCAGAACTTCTGGGATTAATTCAGGGTAAGCAAATTAATGCTTGTCAATAATCGAAAGGGATCGTACGAATGAGACATCAGTTTCTTTTTTTTTCCTTTTTTTTTTTCTTGTGGGGGGGGGGGGTCCTGTTTGTTTTTCGGTTGTTTTGTTGTTGTTGTTTTTTGTATTGAGGGGAGGGTCAAAAATACTTATTTTCTTCCTTCTTTCTTCTTCCTTGAGATGCCAATAGCTTTCCTTTGGAATTGATACATTCTTGGACATTTCTACATACATGTATTAGTTTTTTGTGTGAATATAAAAGACAATTGAAGTAGAAGCTAGTCGTCCATAAAACGAGCAGTCATCGTTTTTCAGTTTTATTTAACTGCCTTTTGTTGTTATATAATATAAAATATTTTTGTTAATAGTTTTTGTCTTCTTTCTTCTTTTTCAAACGACCGAGGGGGAGAGTGGGGGGGGGGGTTAGACTTTTTAGTCTCAGATTTTCCCTTAATAAGTTCGCTATCACTATCTCTGTGTTCTTCTAGATCCCAACTGCTCACCCCTTGCAACTCGGCCTGCCGCTGTACCACGGAGGAGTATGAGCCAGTGTGTGGAGTGGACGGCACTGTCTACGTCAGTCCGTGCCATGCTGGGTGCACTATCGTCGCCTCGGAGGACGGGCCTAATAAAGTACGGTTGCGGGTGGTTGACGGGTGCTCTTTAGGCTAAAACAGCACATGGACATGGATGGCTGGTGCCTCTATAAATAAATCATTCGTGGTCATCATTGATGGTGGGTGCTCTTGTGTGATTTGCTCCTTCTTTCCTATTAAACGTCTATCGTCCTTATCTCTCCTCCTTCATTCCTGTATGTGTTTGTTACTCTCTTGTAACGCCTCTAATCTCCGGCACTTATATGACCTTATTGTGTTGCAAGTGCCGTAAAACTCTTACTAAAACTAAACTAAAGTATGGCTTAGTATTAGTTTTGAGTAAGCGTTTTACGGTGATTGCAACACAATTAGGTCATTTAAGTGCCGATGATTAGAGGTGTTACAAGAGAGTAAAAAAAAAAAAAAAACAGGACAGAGATTATGAGCAACCCATACCAGAGCACCCACCTACCGTCCACGGTGGATTATAAATATAGAACGTAATCCTTCAGCTTTATCATCATCATCAGCAGCAGCAGCAGCAGCAGCAGCAGCAGCAGCAGTAGTAGTAGTAGTAGTAGTAGTAGCAGCAGCAGCAGCAGCATCGTTGTTGTTGTGTAGAGTAAAAAAAAACAAAAAACATTGCTATAAAATAGACTTTTACTCACTCAAACGCAAGCTTTTTCTCGTTCTGTCCTCCTCAGCAATTCTCAAATTGTTCATGCGTCCAAGCTGCTGTCATTGCCGGAAGCGGAAGTACGCCTTCCCCCGGCTGGCAGGCGGAAGCGAGCAGCGGAGAATGTGCTTCCGACTGTCTGTTGGTGTGGCTGTTTATCCCTCTGCTCTTCCTCGCCATGTTAGCCACCTTCACCACTGTCACCCCAGTCTCCATGGCCATACTCAGGTACGCCGGTGTCTGTGGTGTATTGGTTAGGGGTGTCTGTGGTGTAGCGGTTAGGCGCTTCGACGTCGCACGCAGGAGACTCGGGTTCGATTCCTTTTGCAGAGACTTTAAAACCCTATCCGTACGTCGTGTTTTACTATCATGTCCTTACGACGTGAGGAACTGTGTGCCACCACTTCCAAAGAGGAAATTTACTCGTTAATCCGATCTGTACGCTTTGCATAGGAGTCTGTCAAAATGATTTTTTTGAGAAATACTGAAAGTTTCAAAGAGATCTTCGTACTAGAATTATTCTAAAATGTGAAGAATACAACACCGGGGGTACATAATGACCCCAGGGCGTACGGATAGGGTTAATCGAGTGCCTCAGCCTTTAATAATAATTAATAATTGCATTTATATAGAGCATATCCATGCTCAAGAGCATGCTCTATGCGCTTTACAACTATTATTACCCCAGCAGACCCTCTGAGAACACTCAGAAACATTCTCAGCTTCCGAGGAAGCATACAGTGCAAGCTGCGGATTTCACGCGCTCAAACACTATCAAACTGACAAGATCTTTCACTGTCTATAGCCGGGTACCCATTTCCACTGTGGTGAAGTGAGGAAAATTTGTGCAAAGTGCCTTTGTGGTTTCTGAGAACGTCGTATCCATCTCAGCTTGGATTAACTGAGGAAGACAGGGTCAAAGCCCGCCTCCTAAGTGATCTAAATCGTATCCATGGGGGCTTGAAAAATAGATCCATTTGGAAAAAAATGTTAATACTCAGATACACGTTGTTGTTGCCAGTTTTGCTGTGTATGTTTTCGTGTGTGTTTGTGTGTGTGTGTTTGTGTGTGTGTGTGCAGTTGTATGTTTGCTTACTTTACTTTTTCCTTTCTCTGGTATCCTTATGATGTTGAGGGGAGGTGCAAGTTTCTGTCCTGTTCTAGTGTGTTGCTTGTGTGGTGATAGATACATTATGTTGTTCCAGGACCTTTTTAACCCCATCCAGCCAGGTCTTCCTTGGTCTTCCTCTTGATTTAAAGCCGGATTCTCGGGTGCTTTTGTTTATTTCTTTTAATATTCAGGGGCGGGGGGGGGGAGGAGCTTACGTCTATGTACCTGTGTACGTATGTGTATGAGTGTGTTTGTGTGTGGGTGTGTGTTTGTGTGTATGTGTGTATGCGTGTGTATATATGTGTGTGTGTATGCGTATGTGTGTGCATGCGTGTATGTGTGTGCGTGTGTATATGTGTATGCGTGTGTGTGTACGTGTGTGTATGTGCAAGACATGTGTGTGTGTGTGTGTGTGTGTGTGTGTGTGTGTGTGTGTGTGTGTGTGTAAGCAAATTATGTGATACTCATTCCATACCTTATTATTATTATAGCTTAACCATTCTTTGTTGTTTTATTCAGATGTGTTCCTGAAAACGCCAAATCTTTGGGACTCGGCATACAGTGGGTGTCGCTACGACTGTTTGGTAGGTTCTCAAATTTAATAGAGTAGGTCTGAAGGATCAGTGGATGGATGGATGGATGGATGGTAGAGGGTTCATATTGAAATGTGGGTGAATGAATGGAGTTATGAATGAATGAATGAATGAATGAATGAATGAATGAATGAATGAATGAATGAACGAATGAATGAATGAATGAATGAATGAATGAATGAATGAATGAATGAATGAATGAATGAATGAATGAATGAATATAATTCATTAACTCCATCTGAGAAAATATCTTTTGCGAAATCATGATAGGTAGGAAATCAATCATTTGTACACAATTTTAAATACCTTATTTAACTAGTTTGTTTTGATCTTCAGAAAACCTTTAGAGGCTTAGAATCGTAATTATAATATAGTATGAAGTGAAAACGACGAAATAATAGCTCGTATTAACAAAGTAGGCCTAGTAACTGTCGATACATTATCATGTTTGTCTATCGTCAGGCACGATTCCTGGTCCCGTTCTGCTTGGGGTGATCCTGGACAACACCTGTGTGCTGTGGCAGGAAACGTGCGAAGGCCAAGGTCAGCTTTTTCAATCTATCACCACCTTTAGAATTACAAAGTTCCGTCTGCTCAGCAGTATCTAGTTTAGAGGAATTTGGGAAATCTGACGTAGCAAAAATTTGAGTTTCGCAACATTTCAAGCTTTTGCTTTTTCGAATGCAATTCTTTGAGTAACATCTTGATAACGACTCCGAAAAATCTTACCATTTTGATAGTGCAGATAGAACATTTAGTTTCTGACCTCATGGTCTTAGATGACTCAAAATGGCCAAAAATATCAGATAGAGCTTTATCGTTCTAAGGTAGCAACATGTCAGCGGCACTAGGGCAGCAGATATTCAGAGACGTCTCCGGCGAGCACCCAGCAACTATTCGGAGAAGCACTCCTGCACACTGATGCACTACTTTGGGGGGTCAAACTGCGTATTATTTGCTGCAGATCACACATATAGCCACTAAAACATTCGCAAATCAATTTTTATTCAAGAAATTTTCAAACTTAATTGCAAAATATCAAATTATGGGTTTAAAAAGGAGAGCACCCCCCCCCCCTCCCAATGTGACCCCCCCCCCCTTTTTTTTTTAAAACTTGGTCTAGAGGCACAAAGCATTTTGATTGGTCTATCTCCGTCGGAGGCGTCTCCAAATAGATACTTCTGTGTCTCCGAATAGGTACTGCACGGCACTAGCGTTTGTTTGCTTGTTTAAAAGTTTGGGTTCCAGTGAGTTATAAGATGTTCTGCTGAGAAGGCGTCGTTAGCTTGGTTGGTAGGGCCCATCATGTTGGTCAGTGTTCTTTTATCTCTTACATGTTTTTCTCTTACACCTTTTGTCTTCCTGTCTCTTCCTTTGTCTTTTAACAGCACCAGCAACAGCAGCAGCAGCAGCAGTAGTAGTAGTAGTAGTAGTAGTAGTAGTAGTAGTAGTAGTAGTAGTAGTAGTAGTAGTAGTAGTAATAGTAGTAGTAGTTGTTGTTGTTGTAGTAGTAGTAGTAGTAGTAGTAGTTGTAGCAGCAGCAGCAGCAGTCACCAGTAGTAGTAGTAGTAGTAGTAGCAGCAGCAGCAGCAGCAGCAGCAGCAGCAGCAGCAGCAGCAGTAGTAGTAGTAGTAGTAGTAGTAGTAGTAGTAGTAGTAGTAGTAGTAGTAGTAGTAGTTAACCATCAATGTCCTACTCCTTATCCGCAGGATCGTGCTGGGTGTACGACAGGTACACCATGAGCTGGTCGCTGTTCGTCTGGTGGGCCGTCATCAAAGTCTTCAGTGGGCTCACTTAGTGGGCTCACGCTATCCGGGGCTCTGTTTCTCTATAAAATCAGTGTTCTTTTATCTCGTACTTGTTTTTCTCTTACACCTTTTGTCTTCCTGTCTCTTCCTTTTCTTCCTTTGTCTTTTAACAGCAGCAGCAACAGCAGTAGTAGTAGTAATAGTAGCAGCAGCAGCAGCAGCAGTATTTACCATCAATGTTCTACTCCGTGTCCGCAGGTTCGTGCTGGGTGTACGACAGGTACACCATGAGCTGGTCGCTGTTCGTCTGGTGGGCCGTCATCAAAGTGTTCAGTGGGCTCACGCTATCCGGGGCGCTGTTTCTCTACAAACGACAACAACGTAGTATCTCTCCACAGCATGTCACTGGCAGTTGTGAAGTCAGACAGAATATTGTCGCACCCACAGCTTCGGACCGTGAGGCATCATCAGCCTCTCCACATAATATGAAAAGTACGATGAATGGACAGATTGTGACGATGGACAACAGCGGCGGGACTGAGAAAGAGGGAGAAAATGAGGCTAATTGCGAATCTAAAATCGTAGAGGGTGCTGGGAATACGTAAAAAAAGATGTGTTGACACTCACTCGCATCCACTACTGTATGTAGAGCATGAATGTAAATCTACTATCTTATTTTTGACTCGTTTGTGTATAAAATGTACCTGTCAAGTTTGAAGTTGTACAAATACGCTATAATTTAATAACGTTGTGCATGACAGAATAAACGAAAGTCGATGTTCTTTACAGAACACTTTGGTTATTCTCTTTTGTTTTGTCGTTGTGACCTGACCTGATCCATAAGAGATTTAACTCTGTCAGCGATATAGGTGTAAGGCTACTTAATACTAGAGGAAAAAAGCAACTCGTTTTCCTAGAGACCAAGGCGCTTCACTTCAATCAGGTAAGGTATAAGGCTCGGTTCCCAACGGCAGCAAGTCGGATGCCATTTTTTTCTTAAAGGTGTTTTCCTTAGTTTCCTGGTTTTCGCTGAGCAGCAAATATCCACTGGTAGTACTCAAATGCATGCACGGATGTGCAGCGTGAATGATGGTACCTAACAGGATGCTACGCCTCACCTCCTTCGGGTGTTTTGGGAGATACAGTCGAATGAAAATGAGGGCCTGGTGGATTACTATAACGGTTCGAGCTATGGCTTGGTAAGGATATAATCATACAACATACGAGTGTTATGACAATGTATTGTATCACTATAACTATAACTTTATCTTCAGCTATCTTGATCGACCTGTTCGGATTTTTGTGATAGTTATCATAACTCATATGCTTTTCCGGGTTATTTGTGAGGTCGCTGCCTTTGTTGTAACTGAGCACGGCGGTCTTGTGGTCCGATGTTGTTCTGTTGTTTATTTAGGCGTATTGCAGTGATTAAATGGTAATTATTGTTATCGCCACATTTGGTTTTTATCTCGAATGATAGCCACTGTTTCCATGTCTGATAAGGAGAAAGTTTTATATTTAGGCCTCGTGATTTATTTATGTATTGATATACTTGTTAGTTCACTAACCACTTGTCCTCTTTGTTGATAGGGGCGTTAAAGTCTGTACCATTTTACTTGTTCACTTAGACTACGTATCAAATTAGATAAAAGGGTTATATAATGCACAGTAAAATGAGAATTGTACTCTTATTCAGAAAAAGTCTAAATAAATCTACAAGATACAATGTTCGTAACTGTGAAAATAATACCCGAAGAAAATAAACAGGCAACCATTCATAACATCTTCAATTTATTGTTAGTCGATGCGTCACGTAATATTTAGAAGTGGATAATAACTAGATCTGTAGCGTTGTTGCTGTTGTTGTTGTTGTTGTTGTTGTTGTTGTTGTTGCTGTTGTTGTTGTCAGGGGCGCGTCGTGGGTCTAAAATGTGGGTGTGCACAACTAATATATCGCAGGCTGAAGATAGTCAAGGGCATAGTTAATGAGATCGTGTATAATTTTAGGATCTTTGGCTAGGTGAGGGAGGACCTCGTGCTTTCATTTTCTATTATTTACTTGTCGCTTTGATTTCTAGAACTAAATTTGTTTTGCTAGCTTAACATCAATTTTGTTCATCCTGCATTAGAACTGAACACTCAAGTAGTAATTTTCCCCACTCCACTACTACAGACAACAGTGTCATCCTCTCACATGGCGTTTGAGACATAGGCTTGATCTTATCGTACTCCAACTATAATATACGCTCGTGCATGTGTGATTTTTCTCAAGCCCCTTTTATTCTTCTAGGCTAAGATGACGACGATGATGATGATGGTGATGATGATAATGATGATGATGGTGCGTGAGTGCCAGACTGTGGAATACAATCATGTAATAGTATTTACATAACCTGGTCGCAGTCCAAGGGAAGTAACAGCACTTTTCGAAAGAAACTTTATGTTTGCATGAGTTACCGGTATTGTGATATGATCAAGTACTAGCGGTCGAAAATATTTCTTTTTTTTTCCTTTTGCAATCCGGTTACATTTTTGTCTTTTTTCCATTGTACCTAGAAATCAGAAATCAGAAATCAGAAATGCCTGTTTCACTAACGTAACCTACAGAAACAAACTGAATATCTCATAAAGACCCCCCCACCCCACCTCC